AGAGAGAGAGAGAGAGAGAGAGAGAGAGAGAGAGAGAGAGAGAGAGAGAGAGAGAGAGAGAGAGAGAGAGAGAGAGAGAGAGAGAGAGTGAGTGTTTGAGTGTGTGTTTACATATCTTTTCCTGCTAACTTTGTGTGGGAGAAGCATTGCTCTCATTCGTTGTTTTGGAAGAAAGGCCTTTCTTCAAAATTTGATTGAAGTGTTAGGAACTTGCAGAACTTCAATCAAGTCGAGCAAACACATCAAACTTCTCCAAACTTGGTTGGAAACATGTCAAACTTGATTGGATCAAACTTCAGAGCAAACTGGCATGGATTGTAGACACACTGAAATTATTTAATGGAATTGAGAAATACTAGTGTTCTTATAGCGTCGCATTGTATTGCAAAAGTTGCACCCAGATGTGCTGATCGCATGGCATCAAATAGAATTACAAATGGCGCTACAACGATCTCACAAATTCACACTGGTTCGCAACATCACACGGTTACACTTGAACCTGCAAAGCTCCACACACTAGATGCAAGCGAACACGATATGATCACGCATCGGAAAACTGAGATTTGCTTGCTTACGTGCATGTATGTCCAAATGCTGGTATTTGTGATTGTCATGCGCAAGTCGTTGTGTGTGTGTGATGGTCGTGAAGGATCTATTGCTTCTTTTCACTTTGGAAACCATTCGAAAAAATATCAGCGTCTTCACCGTCATGTACAACAACGGTCTCAATGCATGTACACTAGGGTGGCTATGGCTGCCGGGCAACTCACACAGGTATGCTTCTCCCCCTTTCTCACTCTGATATCCTAACTACCCCTCAGGGCTTTCTCTTCCTCTCCGGATGTCTTCTTTGTTCCTCACTCTCTTGCTCGCTCAAGCGCTTCAACCATGGCGTCGGGCGCCATCGACTTCACTACTAGACTGCCTCCCAACCTCACTTGACGCTTGGCGCAACTCGAACAGGTATTTCTCTCCTCCTCTCTCTTGTTTTCACTCTGATATCCTAAGTACATTCAGGGGTCTCTCTTCGTCTCTGAATGTCTTACTCGTTCCTCACAATCTCCCGCTCGCTCAAGCTGTACAACCTTGGGCGTCGTTGACCAAATTGCTTACTGCCTCTCAACCTCACTTGACGCTTGACTGCACAAGACGACAACAACGCTTCCTGCAGCTTTCGAGTCTGCTCCAGAGAGCGCAAACGGGTAACCGTTACCCGTACCCGACCGCACCCAACGGTAACCGCCAGGTCACGGGTAGGTGTGGGTGCCCCTTTCCGAAGGGGGCGTTGGGTATGGGCGGGCATTTTTTTTTTTATTGCAGTTGACGGGTAGGCTCAGTTAGCATTTATGGATTGGACGGGTAGGTAGGGCCAGCCAAACATAGGCCCGCGAACTGGTGCGGACAGGTACGAGCAGCAAAAAAAAAAATCGGGGGCGGGTACGAGTGGGTAGAGGATCCACTCGGGTCACCGTGGATCACTACACCTTCTATTCCCACCTGCCCCCCTCCCAGCCCTTCCCCCCCCGCCCTTTCCCACCATGTGAAGTCGTAGGCCCTTTTTTTTTTGGTTTTCGCTGCCTCCTTGGGATTCCCGCCGGCGGCTGGAGTGTACAATGTTTCGAGCCGTTGGCCGACTTCGATTTTGGGTTTTCGAGTCGGCCAAAACAAAAAGGGTTTCATGTGCTAATGTTCCCATGTTCTACATCCACATTCATTCCCAATTCCTAGCCCGCCATTGTCTCGGACTACCCCGACTAGTCGACTGGCGCCCAACCGTTTGACGGTCGCGCTGCTACCCGAACATCGACGCCGCCATCCACTGTTGCCGCCAGTTGTCGTCCTCGTCCTCGTGGCCGCCCGTTGTCGTCCCCATCCTCCACAACTCCCCTTCGTCAACTTTGCAGGTGTGACACGTGGAGACTGAGGCGATTGAGATCTTTGCATTCAGGATTCAGGACACGTGGAAAAAAACAAGGGCGGGTACGGGCAGTTACAG